TTTGTTACAGTAAATTATTTATCCTTTTTCACCCTAAAAGTTTAAATAGTTGTTTAATTATTTGATTTAAAACCAAAACGATTGAATTAAATACTTATATATATATTTTTGAAAAAAAGAGATTTATTTTTATTTTCGAAAAAATATAGAAAGGTAAATATGTTTATTTTAATAAAGTATTTTGTTACACCGACTGGTGTAACGAGGGAGATTCGTCGTGGTTGGATTGGAGTGAAACACTTGGTAGGTTTTACTAGTAGATAAATAGATTTTACTGCTTTTATTCTTTTTGCGAGTACAAACACTTCGCGATCCGACAGTATAACGTTCTTTGCAGATCAAAACTAAACTCCGCAGTGGTTCGCTGGCCGGCGGGTTTTTATCCCATGACGAGCGGGCCACTGTTGCACTGCTCAGCATTTGCAATTATCGTATAATTGTAACGCTGCGGAATTTTGAGCTGGATCACGTTAGCGATTTTGGATCTTTCGAAATACTGCGTTAACAGTTTTTGATTTTACTTAATTTTACTGTGTCACTGTTGCGAGATACGATTGCGACAGTGACCTTCTTATTAAATTATTACGAAAATCTACTTGTTACGAAAGGGGACTTACAACAATTTATATACACATTATATTTTTTTTACAATTTTTATAATTAAATAATCTCTGGAAATTTTGATTTTCATTCAGTTTTTACCTTATTATAGCGCTTTTAATCTTTAATTCAAGCTCACGGAATAATGACCAATGTTGTAACAGGTACTTATTGAAGTCGGCCACATAATTTTGTAACACACATGAGATACGTGCACGCGTGCGATTCGTTGATTTTCCACCGTGGAAAAATTATTCCTTTTGTGGCGAAAAGTGTAACGAGAGCCCGATATATCAAGCGGTTGCACGCCGACGATCGTCTCTCGCGAAATTACAGTGGTCCAAAAAGGCATCGCGATAAATCTCACCGACGCATCTCGGTCTTCCGCGCCGCGGTCGCCGAGGGCCGCGAAATTCGGGAGAAATTTGATACACACGATTTATCTCGACTCGACACCTCGCGTTATCCTTTTAGCGTCCGTGTCTGATCGGAGTGATCGATGCGGCGGATCGGGGCTATTAAAGAGCTCTCTAAAAGAATAAATGTCATTGTTGTGCCTCTAACGACATCGAAGAACGAGAATGTCATTCAATTTAAAAATATCGATTCTCAGTTATCAGTTATATATACAATACAATATTAATATGCAAAATATATTATGAGACATTTTACGTAAAAAAGCACGTAAAAAGCACTAATTAATATTAATATAATACATCTATATCATATAGAAAATTACATATTGTATATTATATTGATAAAAATAATGTTAATAATGTATGTAATATTAAAATATAATTTGGCAGAGAAATCAAGAGAATATGAATAAATGTTAAAAATTTTCCAAAAACTGTTAAGTCAAAATCTGTTATTTCTCATTGATGTTATTTTAAAACGGCTTCTTTTTATTTCTTATGATTTCTCTTCGTCCTCTGCTATCAGTAGCATTTCGATAACGTTTATCCAACGATTCTACGCATTCCAAGGATATACTCTTTTTTTCTTAAAGATTTCGTTTCTTTTATCGCTAGACTAGTGCGATAATGTGAACACGTACGTACATAGGAGTGTAGCGTCTTCGATAACGTCGTTACACCTGAATGTCTGTCTGTGTACATATAAATGCAGAGAAACGTGCGTGGTGCGGCAGAACGTTAGCAGCGCTAGGTGCAGTATTGTCGATCGCCGGTGCACGCACAGTAAGGCCTGTTCTACAATACGTCGTATGTCGGATCGTAAACCGTAAGAATTGACCAATCACAGTTGAATGTAAGAAGAATATTCGATTGTAATTGATCAGTACTTACGGCTTACGGCTTACTACTTTCATTGTAGATGGACCTTCAGGCCCATTCTAGAATACGTCGTATGTCGGGTCGTAAGCCGTAAGCCGTATGAATTGACCAATCACAGTCGAATATAAGAAGAACATTCGATTGTGACTGGTCAGTTTTTACGGCTTACGACCCGACATATGACATGTGTTGTAGAACGGGCCTAAGGCGCTTGTGTGATATCCACTTGTGTACGACGTGATCTAACCGGATCTCCTTTATTCGCTTACGCTCGTTGAAGAAAGCACGACTCCAGTTTTCCTTCTACGTTTGCCTACAGGCGGAAATCCAGAGACGAATCTCATATACGAAAATGATCAAGAAATTCAGTTACATCGTGTTGATTGTTGCACTGTTAACCAGGTCAGTTCTTCTCAATAAAAATAGCTCATTATTCTTTTTCCCGATTATATACAGCGCAGACGCCACGCCGATTGGCAGCAATCGCTGAACGACAAGCGAGTCTGACGCCTGTTTCGAGATCTCGTATATTAAGACGAATTCAAACCGATCAAGCAAATACGAACGAACTCGTCGCGAGACTACGCATACTTATTGAAGCAAATTGTTTCGCGTGTTTATTTGCTTGGTCTGGATCCAGCTTTAGACACCAGAATTTTTAATCGGCAAACCATTTTTCACTCGCTGAATACACCGAGTGCCCGCGCCAATGATAAGAGCATTAATAACTATCGTCATACCGTCGTCTGCGTATTTATTCACCGTTGACGCATATGAATCATCGCGTTTGCATAGACGGGCGAACTATAGTTTGCCACAATCGCGTATACGCGTTGGAATTCGACCGTGAGCCACGGTCTGAAGTGGACGTCTGTGGTCGAGTGATTCTGGAATTTTCTAGAATTTTCGCGGCATAGGATAACTGTCCCTATTAGTGTGCCTGTACGTCCCTATTAGTGTGCTTTTATATTTAAATAAGTCATAAAAATAAATTGGTACAAATAAATAGACAAAGTGTTTTTTTTATTAAGTTAAAGTATTATCTATTTATTTGTACCAGTGTATTTTTATGTATATACTTATTTAAATATAAAAGCACATTAAAACGTACAGGCATACTAATAGGGACAGTTACTCTAGTATCTTACTATGACTTAGAATCTCATTGTGCCGTTTGGAAATTGGGCCGTATCATACCCGCCTGGGTGTAGGTCCCACAGAGAAAAAAAGAAGAAGAAGCGTATACGCGCTCGGAAATGAAGCATATAATTCGTTCCCAATAGTTATCTTCACGACTTTTTCTTATGTTGCAGTGCTCGTCTGGGGACAGGTGCTCCGCAGAACTGGGAAAGCAAAATGAGAAAAAATATGGATACTTGGAAACGCAATTTTAAAAATGAAATGAATCAATTCAACCAAAATCTGCGAGATGAAATGAATCGATTAAATCAAAATTTGCATTTGCAACAATTGCAACGAGAGAATGAATTCAACCAAAATCAACAAACATTGCAATATGAAATGGATCAATTAAACAAAAATTTGCATTTGCAAGAATTGCAACGACAGAATTCATTGCAATCGATGCTCGCGCAAGTTAACAAAACAATTGCGAATCTACCAAAAGGTAATCGATCACAGAATATTTTACAATTGACTGGCGTTTATTTAATTTAGGAATCACGTTCACAGCATCAATATGAAGTAAAAATTAAACAGTCACACATTTAATAGCGTGACGCGTAATTCAATTTGTATAAAAGGGTAATCAAAAAGAAAGCTGAAAAATTTAAAAAAAAATCACATCTTTGCATTATTTATGCAATTAATAAATATAGTAGAAATTACGACGATAAATTCGTATGCACATTGAAGCGCATCACGAAATTAAACATATGACATATTTTCACTTTGTATTTATTTCTTTATTATCATTAATATTTTATGCTTAATTTAATATTATTTAATACTTAATTTAATATCATTTTATCCAATATTTTTTTTGAGCATTTGAGTCAATATTTGTGATTTGATCACAGTTATTTTTCTGTCGTTTCTCGTTCGGAAAATTCCGAAGTGCCGAGATATCTTAATATAATATTTAAAAACACGGTTTCATTTCTATCGCACGCGGAAGAGAAAGATCGGTATGTTTGCATAATAGTTCGCACTTAGCGATATTCTTTATCGTAGCAAAAGATAGAGAGACGGAGAGAGATTCCAAAATCGCATCTCGTTTGCCGCGCGGTCGATGTTACTTTCACTATCGGCCGTGATACGGAGCAGACATTGTCGGCATTCCCTGCCGAGTCTCAAGACGGCCGGTATCCATTTTCCATTCAGTCCTGCCCGTTAATTCGCAACTGACGTTTAATTCCGCGCGGAACGATTATCTATGCAATTAGCACGCGTAGCTATACCCACGAGCGTATCGAATCGAGTAGCGTTATCGGCGATTAGTATCGATAAAAAATTTAATCGCCGTAATACCCGCTTGGAATCAAGCACCGACAATTGATGACATTGTAATTTAAAAGCAATTAGTCAGGAATTATGCAGGACGTCGTAGAGCTGCACTTGCTCAAACAAAATCCTACTGTATATAATATTGTACTATTGCTAATAATTAATTAAATTTGTTTAAAATAATCTCTCTCTCTCTCTCCATATAAACTATCAAATTTCAATGATTACGTACTGATTGATTATAACGCAACTAATTGTAAAGGAAAAGAAAAATTAACATACAACGGAAATTTATTTGCAGATGCATCACAAGAAAGTATAAAAATAAATGGCGCATTTACTAGTGACGGAATAATAGGAAAAGGATCAACATTAAATGGCTGCTACGTTAAGAATATCAACACTATAAATGGTTTGTCAAAAATAGTCATGTCCGGCCATACACCAAACGGAGAACCATACGTGCGCATTATCGAGGAAAGAAAGGATAGGAAATATCTTTATCGCAATGAGACCATTTACAATATAAAAACTAACGCTACCGAGAACATTTCTTTGAAACTGGATCTCACAATTCCAGACGCCAGGCACAACGGAAATTTACTTGTAGATGCATCACAAGCAGCTATAATAAGTAGCGTAATTAGTAACGGAATAATAGAAAAAGGATTAACAGTAAATGGCTGCAACATTAGGAGTATCAACACTATAAATGGTCTGTCAGAAATAGTCGTGTCCGGTCACACATCAAACGGAGAACCATACGTGCGCATTATCGAGACAAGAAGGGATAGAAAATATCTTTATCACAATGAGACCATTTACAATAAAAAAACTAACGCTACCGAGAGCATTCGTTTGAAACTGGACCTCACAATTCCAGGCGCCAAGCCAGAAATTCTCACGGACGAATAGTGAAACGATACGTTCTTATTTTTATGTCTTACATCACGGTATATAACTTGCATTGCTTAAAATTTGCATAAATTGATCTAAATTCATAAACTTAGATTAGAAAAGAAAAATGAGAATAAAGCTACTGCAACACCGTGAGGCCTTCGTAGATAACAATATAAATAATGAGAGAAATTATGAATCACGATATGTAAAAACAGAATATTGTTGAATTTTTATCCATTAAAATTCGGAATGTCAGAAAAATGTGTTTTCTTCGCTCAACCTTGGTGTTAAGAAGATACAATTATGTCGAAATATGTTTGATAAACACATGTAGTTTTACACGCCTCTCGAAATATCATTATCTGTCGGATGAGAACGCAAACCGATCGTAAAGTGTGACAGTAAAATCGTGAATTATGCGGCAGGGAAAGTCGCACAATTATCAAGTTGCGCAAACCGACGGAGTAAATATACGGCTATTTTTTTTATTATAATTTTGCAAGCAGGGGTGAGGAGAGCAGGTTTGTGGACAATAACAAATTTCAATTAAAACACGACATTATCGATTTTAAGAAACCAATATCGATATCCATTCCTTCGCGATTTCCTACTGTGTATGTTCAGTTGAATAAGCACTCATTGTGACAAAGAATTCCTGTGTACTTTGATTACATTGCAAATAAAACCCTTCTCGATTGAAAAAACTCTTGATAAAAACTCTTAGCAATTATGTTTTATGTGTTTCTTAATAAAACTGTGATATTATTTGCTACTTAATAAAACTGATTTCAACATATTATTCTTTTACTCTTATTTCTTTCAAACACGCAATATTAATATCGTTTAAAAGTTATAATTACCACGTAAAACCACGACATAAATTTCCAATTTTTTTTACTAACTATTTAGCGCTTTACGCTAAAAAGGATTTAATAAACAAACGCAATTATGACAGTTTATAATGATGTGACTGAATATATTTTCATGTACATTTTACACGCTTCCATGTGAGTGTTAAAGATGGAATCGTTGTGTGTGTTCTTTAATATACAGAAAACCTATCATTTAGCCATAATAAAATATAAAGCATCGAGGAGGGCGGTTGCCTCAATGGAGCAAGGCGAAGAAAAGCGATGAATAAAAAAAACGGGCATAAATTTGCACGAGAAAGAGGTTTGACCAATAAAGAATCATTTGTTACGATATACGACTACGAAATTTCCAGAGGAGGTAGAAGGAATATGGGTGGGGTATACCGTGTTCGCGTTTCGACGCACATACAGATTATGTGTACACACACGTATGCGACATACATATATATTTTTTTCGCGCAATGGCGTCGAAGTTGTGTCTGACGATAAAAATGTCGTTACCCAACGCATAATTATATTTGTAAATGCCATTATCAGTAAAAATGTTTAAAAATGTATATATACACATATATGTATATCATGTTTACGTTTTTGATATTTCTGCAATCGCCTGGCGAGAATGTGCTTCATTTTGGCGCAACTACGGCGTTCATTACCATATTTATAGAATTTTTTAACGTGCTCGTAAACGTCGCTAAAGGCTGCAAAAACACCGCATTATTCCCTCCTCGCGTTTCACCATAAAGTAACACTCATCACAACGCAATTTTCACGATTTTATTTTCATGTAAATGAATTTTGGCGGTAAGTTAATTTCTTAGGCGATGAATAAAAATACATATATGCATTACGAAATTTACGAGGAATTAGAAGTTCAGAATTGCGGGGAATTACGAGAAACAAAATTATGAAGAATAGTATGCAGAAATGTACACTCTGAAGAGTTGTTTTACTCGTAAATATTACTCGAACATATATGAATAAAAAATGAAAGTTGCAGCGTTTTACGAGCGTCGAACGCGAGCTTTCTTCCCACTTTCTTCCCTTTCGCCGTTCATCTCTACGCCGTTGCCGATAGATTTACATACGCATACAAAGGGATACGTAATACGAGGCTCTCTACGCGCTTCGGAAAGGGATACTCCCACACGAGTTTTTCGGTGCGTGCGAGATCGCTCGGGCAGTTTTCGATCTTTCTTTTTTAAATGGATGTGGGATCATTGTCTACGTGTAACCACGATCACGATAACGAACACGTGGGCGACTGGTATAAGGGCCCGTCGTGCGTCAGTTTTTAGCCCTTGAAATTTTATTAGCCTATTACAGAAAATTAGCCGAAACCGCCGAAATGTGTGCATTAATAGAGATATACATATTTAATTGACCTCCTCGGTATTTTCATTAAAATTGATGTACTGAACAAATATTCCTGACAAAATGGACTGATGCAAATGGATTGAAATAAAAATCTTTGCGAATTTAAAAATGAGAACACTATAATAACATAAAAATATAGAATAGAAGTTTTAACTTGATGCAAATGCGTTTCTATTTTCATGTCTTTCACTTTAAAAAAATATAAAGCATTTAGATAAATTAATATAACATATTATTTTAAATGTTTTTGAAACAGGATATTAAGTATGACATTACAATCCTGTGTAAAAATTTATCTTTTATAAGATATTTAAATGTAATGCAATTTTATCAATATTTTTGTTCACTTTGAATAATTAACACAGGTAGTATCAAGAAATATTAATAAATGATAAATTGTGCAATCAGAGCGGTTATCCATCCAACCGATGGTGTGTTCAGATTATTTCTTTGCGGACGATCGGACGACCGGGCACGTCTCCTCGGGCGATGCGCAAAATAATTATTCTTTTGCCCTGCACATCAGCGACGCACATACGTTCCCGTGCCGCGAACGAGACGCGCGTTTTCCAAAACAGAACCTCTATTTTCTCAATCAAACTGAGTGTTCTCGAATAGCTGGCGAATAGAATAGGGATCGCGAGGCGCGCAGAAGTGGTTTCTCCAGTAAAAGTCAAGTTCGCGGGATACGCGCGGCGTGATTTCGTCCTCCCCCCCCCCTTCCTCCCTCCTCCTGTATTTTTAGCGCGTTCGTAAAGTTGAAGTTTGTTGCGGTAAGTCATTAAAATACATGACTCTCGCGGAACGGAAAGCCCGGCGAGATGAGATCTTTACGACGGGAACGTCTCGTTAGGGACACTAATTTGTCAGGGTCCGATGACACGAGGATCCCGAAATACGTTATAGATGGTAATCGTCGAAAGGAAGAGGTCCTCCTGCCGCGGTAGCGGAAGCGTCGGGATGGGACAAGGGGTAAGATCGCACGAAGCGGATCAGGAATCCTGATTTACGAACACAGCCGCAGTCCGGGGAACGGACCTTTCGCTGGAATTTTTTTCCTCTTGCGTATAGGAAAAGGGTTTCCTGGAACAAACAACGTTTGAAATATGAATCCCACCATCGATACGGACGCTGCAAAATCCGCCGTCGCTTTGTTGCCTTGCACAATATTTCTCTCTCGATATCGCACATTGTAGAAATATTATTTGGTAAAATAGCACTGCTTGAATAAAATCTTATACATAAACCGCGTTGCACGATGGGGATCTAAGCGGCAAAGTGATCTACTTACTGACAGAACAATTTTCTACTTGAGCTGAGACTCGAGCATCACTCTCCCGCTACGATTACGCGACGTATGCGATAATGACCCGGTCGACGTCTTCATTCTACGAGACTTTTTACATCGAAATGCCGCGATAGCGGCGCTAATTACTTACGAGATACGGTAAGGATGTTTATGTGTCCCCCTCCCTTCTCCATCCGGCGAATACACGCACACACACACGCGCGTGTATTTGCCGTTACGTGTGCAAAGTGATCCAGCCTCGGAGATAATAACGCGCGGCCGTCCCTCTTTTTTTCGGTCTTCAGTCCGGATGCAAATTCTTTTTCGAAATTTCACCGGGACTTGCGCCTCCGTCGCCATATTAATTTCTACTTTATATGCCGATTGCAACAAGCTGTACGAATCGCAAGCGTGCCTCGTAACTCATTGATAATTATGCAAAGCGGTATCACTTCGACGTTTCGTTACTTTACGAGGGTGCAACTTCAGTACTCCTCTCCCTCCATATCTCTCTTTTTCTCTCTTTCTCTTTCCCCTTTTTGTCCCATGTTGCGCTTTTCGAATCACACACGAATGGATTTCGTGGAGGAGAAGATTGGATGAGCTCAGGGGATTGAAAGACGTAGAATTTCAAGCGAATTTCGGTTTCCAATACTGCAGATACGAAATCCCGTTACCAAATAATAAACGCGAATACAGATTACATTTTTACTGTTATAATGTCAATATTTTTAGTTATCGATATCAAGCGTCTTCTCGGGCATTAATAATTTGAAAGATCGAGAATTTGGTGGAATCTTATAATTACCCTCTCGTTTGTCCATAAAAGGTAAAATGATTTTTTTGACAAATGATTTCTCGTACAAATGTCGCGCATTGTATAAATCTGCTCGGGCTTATTGGCCGCGACATGCGTCCGATAATGTCACCATCGATATCTCTCCCGGCGCTTATTAACGCGCCGTCGCTATTAACGGAGGCGCGTACGCACTCGGTCGTATATTTCACGATTTTATCACCGCGCGCTCCTTTACAGTAATTTAAGCGCCGCCCGCGGAAAACACACGCGCGCACCGACGAAAATACAAGGCAATAACCAAATGCGATTGCCGCCAGTCGAGCCGGGAGTCTCGGGCGCGATTCACCCGCGGATCCCCTGCGCGGAGTTTCACTCGCACACCGAATGCGGCTACCAACTTAATTTCTACTTTATATACCAATTATGCCATCTCGAAGCGCACGACTACGTGACACGACGCGGCCGTTCGCTTCGTAACTCGTCGCGAATTATGGTCGGCATTACCGCTTCGACATCTCGTTAGTTTACGAGGCAGCGGCGGTCCTCTCTGCCCTCCCTGGTCAACGCGGATCGGCACTTTCCCGATTCGCCCGCGGCCGCTCGTGCGGCCGTTTCGTTTACCGTTCCGAAGCGTGACTGAAGATGGTTTTGGTCATTATGTAGTAATAAACGTATCGCCACGGGCGTACGAGTTTGATCCTTAACTAAGAAAACGATAAAAACACTTCAGCTTGTAGCTTAAATACATAAAAACATAGCTTCAATATAAAAGATCTTTAAAGTCGAAATTGATGAATGATCCGTTTCACTCATAATTACCGTCCAATTTCATAGTTTACAATTATTATCTGGTGTTCAATAGATGCAACATTATGATGCTTAATCAACTGCGCTTTACTACTAATCGCGTAGTAAAATAAATTTAAGAGCGAAATTAGAGAAAGATCCTTTCTAAAATTTTTCTCGCGGCAGAAGAATTAAATCTTGGTATTACGCGTTTCAAGCGCCGTGCATTCTGGTATATTTAAATTCCGGGGTGAATGTAAAATATAGAACTTTCTAAAGCCTGGAAAGATCTTAAAACGGCATATCTGAGCATCGAAAGGTGAAAATAACGCAGCGAGCTGAGGTTGTTAAATTTCTGTGATATCCTGGAAATGGATGAGCCCGCGTGAGGAGACACGTTATTTTCTTTTTTCAGCGAACGATAATCTCGAAGGCGTCGTCACTTTCTACTAGATATATATTTCCTTATCTACGATAGCACAATGGAGTTATAAACCTCCAAGATAGTAGAACATTCGCCGGGCGACACCGATTTTACGGCTTATGACTTTACTTCTTTATGACCTCTTATTTCCGGGTGAACATTTTACATTTAAGCGACATTTCATACTTGCAGTCCATTTACCTATTCTCTCGCCCCATTCTTTTTATAAGCCACCGCAGGTAAAGTTTATCGACGAAAATACTCCCATGATTATAATAAAACAAGTTTGCCGAAAGTTACTTACGAGTTTAACTTTTCGATTCGAGAGGTTTAAAATGAAGAGCAGTCAACCGAGACAAATTATTTTTATAAATAATTTTCTCGAATTTACGAAATATATTTGCCTCCTAAGCTCTACATAGTTTTAATTGTATTTTTTATTGTCTATAATAAAAGATTATCTCAAAGCACTAATAAAAGTGTTTATATTCAATTTTCTTTAAATAAATATTTTGCCTCGTATTTCTCTGCCTTATGCTATTTAATTAAAGTATCATGGTAAACTTTTATTATACCCTCCTAGATCAAATACTTTTTTGTACTTTGTAAACGCTCAAAACATCTTTTAATTAAAGCTGGGCAGCAATTACGGACAATCTCAAACAATTATCATTTCAAAATGCGTGACGGCGTCTCTTTTTTAGATAATATAAAACGATCTCTCGCCTTGTTAGCCGCCGGTTTTTAGCTCGGATTCAGTTACCAGTTAGAATCGAAAGGACGTGACAGGTAGAAACCCGAATCTCGTTAGTGCGTGCTTTCCTTTCTCGTTTATTATTCCATCTTCCGTTCTGCCCTTTAATCTACAAATGCGTGCGATGGTTCCTAGGAACTCCTTGATCAGCTATCATTCGTATTAACGAAGATGGACTATTTCTCATTTCTCGTAAAGTTTGAATGTATAGGTATTCTTTATTCACACGATCTGTTTCGCAACAATTTAATCCCTAAAAGATCAAATCGTAATGGAATATAACATGAGATACGATTGCGCATGTGTAAAAGTAACAATTATAGTATGGTTATTACAATAACATTTTACATTTCATATAAATTGCAATTATTTCTCGACGGCCTGACAAGTAAACACGGATTCACTCATGTGCGTATTGCATTTTTCAAGATAAAAGTATTATATTTTATATAAAAATATATTATTATATTGATTAATTTATCGGGGCAATAAAATAATGACGCTATGCGAAACCTTAATTATCAACTTTGCTCTCTTAATTTGATTCGAGACTTTATATCTTTCTCGCGAAAATATCGCATAAAAAAAGACGCTTTTTAGTGGGCAGATAACGGCGCGCAGAATAACTCGCGATTATGCGTGCCAAAGTGACGCGAGGAGCAAAAAAGGGATATGTACGGGGTACCTTAAATGGTAATGCCTCGGGCTTTTGCCCCGAAATCGCGATCTCTCCGGATTTCGTTCCGTCTTTCTCTCTCTCTCTTTCTCTCTTCCTTCGTCCCTCTTTCACTTTTTGCCATTCTAGAGAGACGCGCGCACTTCGCGTCTCTCGTTTCTTCTTACGATGGCTATCAAGCGTAAACGTAAGCTCACGATCGAATATCTTTCGAAGAAAGGTCGTAAAGTTGATACGTGACGCCAGAGGAATTGGATTGTCATCGCGCTAAGTTCCACGTGCGTTATTTTAAATATGTCCATTTGACACCTACGTGAATTTAAACGATCATAGTTTGACGTGTTCATTCCTTGCTCGTAAATCATCGTTTCGATCTCTTCATCGTCATCGTTTCTCCTCGCGGGGAGACATCGGAAAAACAATAACGCGCGTGCGATATGGTAATACGAGCAAGGTAGATTCTAAAAATTCTCAACGTATTTAATTACATTAAAAGCATGATTATTTTATTTAATTATATTAAAAGCATTACAATCCGTCTTCTTTCAACATTGTGAACGCAAAGATTTGCCAGTACGACGTTAAATTAATCTTACTCACAAACGGATCGGGAGATCTCGTGCTCTTGATCTTGTACGAAAAATCTCTCGAGGTAAAACGCAATGATGACAATTTCTCACCGCTGCGTAACTTCAACGTCCGTATGAGTTTTCTCTTTTTAAATTCTTTATTTTTAATTACGCAAATGCAACATTCTTCTATAAAAATTTCCAACTTCGTGTACGCCGTTTAAGGAACACTTTGAAACATTTACGGTATTCTCTTTTCCACGTTAAACTCGTTTTGTAGCGAGCCAATTTTGCTTACACGCGAGCCTTACGTGCAAGATACCTCGTGAAAACGCGGTATTTCTGTCACAAAGGAGGACCTTATTCGAGCAATAACGTCCTCTTCAGTGCAACACCGAAGACTCTGGATTCTGGGACGCGAATGACGAATTTACTGTTAAACGTACAATGCGTTAAGAGCATCCGGAAACTCAAGGACTTGGGTGTATATATAAACTTCTTTTGTTGAACATGCAATGAACATAAAATACATATATGCCTTTTTAACATTGAAAAACCGCGTTACTTAACGCTTTATTATTCGAGTGCAAAATACGGACATTATTTCTGTGAGAGAATTACAAATTTAATTATATTTTTTCTTTCATTCGCGGATGAAACGCTTCGTCCGAGTTTTGTGCCGTTAATTTGTCACTATAACGTAGCTAAATCTAGTTCTATTTAGAGAAGCAAGAATAATTAAATTTTTGCATACTAAGTAATTACATTTTTTAACGTATATTTCTGATTCCAGTTTTACTTCCAAATTTCGTTTTATATTCGTTTCATTAAAAAATATAATGTATGTATGTGTCGCGGATCTTATTATTCAAAAAAAGAAAACGGGAAAGACGCGGAACAAGCGTGACCCGTTATCGGCACGGTCGACTTCGAGGTACGTTTCATTCGGAGCGATCAATGATGCGTGCATAAATAGGTAGCCGACATGCGTAAAATGCTGGAGCGCGCTTCTCTTAATCGCAGCTGCAGAGTCGTGTCCCCTTCGGCGAAATGCTACGGATATCGATTGAGAAATTCTTAAGTAGTCCGTATATATCTGCATTTGAAATACATTACATTATAAACAGAGAGTATATTTATAATAAATTTTATTCACATCTATAAATAATGTAAAGACCGCATGCGAAGTGTAAACTCAAGATGAGACTCAGAACTACGTTTACCGCTAAATTCGCATTATGAAAACAATTTTATCTAAATAACGTTTATAAACGTTAACCGTTCGTTTAATACTTCATAGATACACACAAATCGTCGATCACCTCTCATACGACGTTTAGACGTGTGCGCGTCTCGCATATCGATACGTGCGTGAGTGCATGCGTATACGTGCGTGCGTACGTTCGCGTGGCAAACGGCGAAGCCAATGGCCTGGACAGGTATGTGGGTGATGTCCGTTTTCTCGAGTATCGCATTTAGAGACGGAGACGAAAGACCGCGGGATTTGTCTGCCGGGTACACTCGGTAGAGGGAGGGAGAGAGAGAGAGAGAGAGAAAGAGAGAGCCGCCTCGTTCCCTCATTCTTTCCCCTCGCTACCATAGCTTCGCCACGCGTTCTCACTTCTCTCCGCTCATCTCTCGGGATGGGACTCTCGCGGTCCCGCTATCCTTCTCCAGCTCCCGGACCAGCGGCGAGATCCTGCCGCGTCGCGGAGTCTCGCGGCGTTGAGCGGTTTAATGAAACGTCGAACGGAATCGAATATTTCTCAAGTTACCGGCCGTCCATTACTTCTCGCTTCGACAAGCGTATATGCGCCGAGTATTCGCATGAATTAACCTTTGTCCGGACAGGTCGTGCGTAATTCTCCCGCCTTGCTTCTCCACTTCCACGAAAGCGGCTCCCTGATTCGCGGCCTTAGCCTTTGCGTCAATTATGCGGCGTTAATAGGTTCATTGAATGATCGGGGACCGAAGCTCTAAGTCAAGTTGCCACGTTGAATCGGCACAATGCAGCATGCGTAAAGTACGTTTTAGTACTTTAGTAATTTGACACGGTAAATATGTTAAACTGGACGTAGAATATCTCTCAACAGTAGCAAACAATTTTAACGAAATATCCATTGTTCAAATTTCAATAGACGCTTTATTGGAATTTGCTAGTTTGTAAAAATATTTCTCTTGCGCATGTATTTGTATATATGTCCTAATTTTTTCTTTTAAAGAAATTATCAAAAAATCATTTTTCTATGTACATATCGCGGCATTGCTGCAATAGTGTCATATCTCGAAAAATGACAATTTTGAGTTATTTATTGGAAAAGATGAATTTTGGCGTGTACTTTTATCTGGTGATGAATAACTCAAAATTGTCAATTTTCGAGATATGACACTATTGCAGCGATGCCGCGATATATTAATGCAATATTAAATAATTAACTTTTTCTACGCGAATGATAATAGTAAAAATATAATAATTGCTGTAGCAACATTTTTTATTTAATTATTTTTATACACGTAAGAAACGTGCGTGCCACGCGAGCGCCTAATGGAAGATATCCAGTTTGAAGGAACGTTTGCGTGGTTCCGTACAGTACAGGCGTGTGTAGATAGTATATAAGTGACGGTTTTCCATATTTCGAAGTCATTGTGCGTTCTCTAGTTGTCGAGGTGGTCTTTGCTAAAATCTCGTCGTCACGTTGGCGTGACTTGTATAACAAAAGCCGGAGCCGACGCTAATTTGAATGATGCAGATTAATGTCCATCGATTTGTGTTATTTTTATTATTATGCATCTTTCAATGCTTTTGTCTTCCCACCGATTTCCAGAGCATCACGGGTAAGCATTATTTTATACTAATATATAAGTTATATCAAGTTAGATTTTTACAAATATTCTGCGAAAAAAATATTTATATTAAATTCAACTATGAACTTTGAATTTGATTGTGTTTTTTGTGATACAAATAATATCGATGTAAATTAATAAAAAATATTTTTATATTTGATAAAGGATAAATTATTAAATTTTTCATATAAAATAGAAAAAAATTTTTTATGTTATGATCGTATGTCCGATATAAAAAAGTGTTATTTACAGAACTTTTATATATTATAATTTAAGGTACAAATACTAATACATTTCCAATTTCAATTTATTTTGCAGAAACTGTATGGGTGATACATCCTTAAAATAACTTTCATTCGAAAAATTTTTTATAACTTTATTTATTAATTTCAAAAATATTACTAAATGTATACCCTTCAACTATATACTTAAACCAAACACACTTACATTCATATGATATAAATTTTTTATAAAAAAATATCGCGTGGGTATACAGTGATATTCATAGAGTTGTCATGAATACATGCACGTTTCTCTTGACCGTAATATTTTTCGGCGTATTAAATGCAAATGCATCAAGTGTAATAAATCGCGGTTGAAAAAACAGATTGCGACTCGTTTCTGCGTTTTAAAAGTCCCAAAAGGCGTATTCTTTCAACGGAAATAGCCAAATCATATGTCCGATAGTATATCATCCAAACGCTCTATCCTTCGGTAGTCCTCGTTAAAATTTTGATACGTGTCATACATGTGTTTGCGCACACGCACGAAAATACGCACATGCATTACGTTTTTCGCCGGTGTATATGTGACAAATCTCATATTTCTCAGATCCGGTGGCGATTGGCAGTCAGGAATGGCGAGCACAACTTCAACATATGGAACTGCTTCATTTTTTGAAAAACATTTCCCATCCGTACCTTCGCGTCAAACGACTTGTCGGGTCAGATATCACATTAAACAGGCAGGTGCGTTATCGTTATCTACAGATTTAAAATAAGTATTTAAAATAAAAACGCTGTAACAGAAATTTTTTTTTCACGTAAAAAATGAAAAATATTCCGCTCAATATAATAACTTAAAAAACAATAGGCCAAAGATGAGCAAATAAATCTAATGGATGTTCGATAAATTATTTATTCATGCAATGTATCGCGATACTAGTTTCAGCTTGACTAGGCCTTTTTCAATCGCATTAATTTGAACACACACAAAAAAAATAAATAATTAAATTAACACATATTATAAAATATTACGCACTCAGTCAATAATTAAAAAATTAAAAAATAATAAATAAACGCTGTCGGTGAATCCCACATGATGGAGAAAAAATATACATATATAAGTCAAGCGCACGCAGTCATTAAGGTGTCAACGGAAGTTACTTGTGTGACATTAAATCCATGTCGGGA